TGGAATAGCTTGTAATTAGTATTTTGGTGGTGAACATGATGTAGTCCATGCAGAAATAGAAGTACAATGATGTACACCTGAAATTTTTGCAATGTTATAAACCAATGTTACTGCAATAAATGTAATTTGGAGCTTTAAAAAAAAAAAAAAAAAAGACTACTACTGCTCTGATATCAGGAACAAGTCGAGGATGCCCACTCTTGCTCCTTTTATTCAGCATAGTATTGGAAATTCTAGCCAGAGCAGTTAGGCAAGAAAAAGAAATGAGACACCCAAATTGCAAGGAAGAAGTAAAACTGTCTCTTTTTGCAGATGACATGATGTTATGTATAGAAAATCGTGGGCCGGCCCCTGGCTTGGCGGTTGAGTGCGCGCGCTCCTCTGCTGGCGGCCCCTGGTTTGGGCCCAGGCCCGCGCCCACGCGCTGCTTCTCCAGCCATGGTGGGGCCGTGTGCCATAAGCAGCAACTGGAGGGATGTGAAACTATGATGTACAGCTGTCTGCTGGGGCTTTGGGGGGAAAAAAATAAATTAAAAAAAAAGAAAATCGTAAAGTCTCCACCAGAGAACTGTTAGAACTAATAACTGAATTCAGTAAAGTTGCAGGATACAAAATCAGTGTACAAAAATCAGTTGCATTTCTATACACTAACAAGGAACTATCAGAAAGAGAAATTAAGGGGAAAAAAGCCCATTTACAATTGCATCAAAAAGAATAAAATACCTAAGAGTAAATTTAACCGTGGAGGTGAAAGATCTGTATGCTGAAAACTATAAGACTGATCAAAGAAATGGAAGAAAGAAATAAATGGAAAGACATTCTGTGCTTATGGACTGGAGGAATTAATATTGTCAAAATGTCCAACTACCCAAAGCAATCTACAGATTCAATGCAATCCCTATCAAAATTACAATGGCATTTTTCACAGATATAGAAAAAACAATTCTGAAATTTGTATGGAACCACAAAAGACCCAAAATAGCCAAAGCAATCTTGAGACCAAAGAACAAAGCTGGAAGCATCACACTTGCTGATTTTAAAGTATATTACAAAGCTATAGTAATCACAACAATATGGTATTGGCATTAAACCAGACTCATAGATCAATGGAACAGAATAGAGAGCCCAGAAATAAACCCATGCAAATATGGTCAATTAATTTACAACAAAGGAAGCAAGAATTTACAATGGGAAAATGACAATCTCTTCAGTAAATGATGTTGGGAAAACTGGACAGCCACATGCAAAAGAATAAAACTGGACCCCCCCATCTTACACCATACACAAAAGTCAGCTCAAAATGTATTAAGAACTTGAATGTAAGATCTGAAACCATAAAACTCCTAGAAGAAAACATAGGTGGTAAGCTCCCTGACATCAGTCTTGGGGGTGATTTTTTGGATTTGACACCAAAAGCAAAGGCAACAAAAGCAAAACTAAACAAATGGGACTACATCAAACTAAAAAGCTTTTTCACAGCAAAGGAAACCATCAGCAAAATGAAAAGGCAACTGAATGGGAGAAAATATTTGCAAATCATATACCTGATAAGGGGTTAATATCCAAAATATAAAAGAACTCACACAACTCAATAGCCAAAACAAACAAACAAAAAATCTGATTTAAAAATGGGCAGAGTAACTAAATAGACATTTTTCCAGAGAAGACATACAAATGGCCAACAGGTACATGTAAAGGTGCTCAGCATCACTAATCATCAGGGAAATGCAAATCAAAACCACAATGAGGGGCCAGCCCCGTGGCGTAGCAGTTAAATGTGCGAGCTCCGCTGCTGGTGGCCTGGGTTGGGATCCCGGGCGCACACCAACACACTGCTTGTCAGGCCATGCTGTGGCGGCGTCCCACATAAAGTGGAGGAAGATGGGCAGGGATCTTAGCCCAGGGCCAGTCTTCCTCAGCAAGAAAAAAGAGGAGGATTGGCAGATGTTAGCTCAGGGCCGATCTTCCTCAAAAAAAAAAAATTAAGAATAGAACTACCATATGATCCAGCAACACCACTTCTGGGTATTTATCTAAAGGAAATGAAAACAGTAACTTGAAGAGATATCTGCACCCCCATGTTCACTGCAGCATTATTTACAATAGCCAAGACATGGAAACAACATAAGTGTCCATCAGTGGATGAATGGGTGAAGAAAACATAGTATATATATACAATGGAATATTATTCAGACATAACAAAAGAAGGAAATCCTGCCATTTGCAACAACATGGGTGGACCTTGAGGGCATTATGCTAAGTGAAATAAGCCAGATAGAGAAACACAAATACTGTATGATCTCATTTATTTGTGGAATCTAAAAAAACCAAACTCATAGATATAGAGAACAGATTGGTGGTTGCCAGAAGCATGGGAGGTGGGCGAAGTGGGTGAAGGAGGTCAATAAGTACAAACTTCCAGTTATAAGATGAATAAATTCTGGGGGTGTAATGTACAGCATGGTGACGATCGTTAACAATACTGTGTTGTATATTTAAATAAGTTGCTAAGAGATTAGATCTTAAAAATTCTCACCACAAGGAAAAAACTGTTACTATGTGAAGTGATGGATGTTAACTTATTGTGTTAAGCATTTCATAATATATACATGTATCAAATCATGTGGTACACCTTAAACTAATACAATGTTATATGTCAATTAAAAAAAAAGACTATTACAATGGAGACATTACAATAGGGCTCAACTCTGAATACAGCAAAGACACGTGGGGATTTACAGCCCAGGAGCAGAGTGACGGGATCAAGTGGATGGAAAAATTACTAAGAGGAGACATCAAGGGTAGGAGGATTCTTACTGACTTAACAGGATTCTTGCTGAAGGCAGGTCAAGCTCTTAGATGTCATAGGTGGGGGTGAAGAACTTGATCAGATAATGAGAGTGATCAAATATAAAGGGTAGAGATTCTCTCTAAAGTGACTTAGTAGGATTCTTGCAAAACTGGGCTATGCAGGTGTGGCAAAGCTAGTGGCAAGGTCTAGGCCTAGTCAAGAAAAGGGCTCAGAGGAGCCTTACTAAAGTTTGGTCAAGGGGAGAGTCATTATCAGGTCCAGCTCCGCACATGGGCCAGGACTGTACAATTCAAGACCCCACCAGAATCATCCACGCAGATGGAGGGTGTCTTATATCAGAGAAGGGAGAGTCCCCAAAAGGGAATCAATCCCCTTTCCCCAGCTGGCAACACACTTCAGGGCCCTTCGGTGCTCAGGGAAGATCTGTCCTTGAACGTTGTTCCTCGCCATAAATATTTGGGTCTGAACAGATTATATCTGTCCTATTTGTTTCTCTTCCAACCCCAGGATTCCAACCCATTCCCCGCTCCTGTGAAATCCAGGAATTGTGTTCAGAGTCCAGAGGTCAGTGTTGCTTCAGCTGTTGGGGTACATAATGATCTCACCTCTTCCAGGAATGAGCTGGAGGGAAAAGGGGCTTGGAGTAAACCCAGCTTCCCCAGAAGAAATGTTGATTGATGGTGATGTGTGCCATGGGGGAACAGAGTGAGGAGCAGCACGTCTCAGCGTGACAGAAGAACACCGTACTCTCCACGGAAAAGACAGCTCAGGGGCACTAAATTTGTGTATTTCAGTTGATCTCTCTCCCTCATTTCTCTTCAGAAATTTAAAAGGAAAAATTTGATTCTCTATTTTAATGGTTGACATTAAAGTTAGTATCATTTTTCAATTTCATCATTTCCAAAATTTACCCAGGTATAGAGCTAACTTAACAGTTTTACCTTACATTACAGGGTGCTGGGAATGGAGGTTAATTTTGTTACCAAACCAGGCTCATTTTGCCCACCACGTGGTGTACCAGTCACCAAGATGATGAGTTTTCAGCAGAGAAAGGGTTTATTCACAAGGCAGCCAAATGAGGAGATGAGAGAATAAGTCTCCAATCTGCCTCTTCGAAAATGGGGATTAGGAATATTTATGGGATAGTGGGGCATGGTGGTGTGAAGTGGGGAGAGATGATTGGAGGTAAGGAGAAGTGAGGTCATTGACAGTAGTAGTCAAGCTTCGTGGCTCTTTGTAGGATGCATGTTCACAAAATGGTGGCATCAGCATGATGAGAGTGGAGTTTTCAGACCCCTGACATCAAAGGGTCACCTATGGATCCCTGGCGTAGGCCCAGTTAATGAGCCAGTGGTCTTAACTGGCCTGAACTGGACAAGGAGTCGACTCTCAGTTCCTGAAAAACTCAAGCACCGGTTACCATGGTAACTCAAGCATCAGAGATGTTATCTATAGGGCAGGTTTTAGTAAGGCATTATCTAACTACTTTTGCAAACAGACAACTGATTGAGTATAGTTAAAACAAGTTGGCCCCTGGTTTCAATTTCAGTCCCAGAACCCAGCAAAGGAAAATGGAGAAGGAAGATCAGCTGCTCCTCACTGGCCACTGGGCAGTCTCTCAGTCACTGGCCATCAGGCCTGAGATGGGCCATCTGTGTGGTTCATGATACCCACCCCCAGCCCCCACCAATGACAGGAGGTAATGTTTGTGGAGTCTGATTGTGTCTCTGGAGAGAAGCCCTCTGCTCAGTAATCACAAAGGGTAAAGAACAATGAATGACAGTGACTGAAGTTCTAATATAAAATGAGAAACGCCCTGGAAGGTGACTCATAAATACCGAAGAAAAAGTACAACTGAGATTCACATTTATTAGTAGTAAAGAAACCACAAATTATAAGTGGGTTAATTAATTCACATGTTACTTCAGAGAGAATTTTTGTTTACTCATACCAAAATAGTTCATTTCTCTGTTACAAAAAAAATTATTTACACCTAAAAAGATATGTTCATGCTTCCTTCCTCCCAATCCTACTCTCAAAATTTCATTCTAAGTCCCATTCTCTTCTTTATCATAGTTGGAATTCCAGGTGGTGTATCTGGCAATTACACACAAATTACTTTTATATGGCTTAATAGAGGCATAATCAACTATAAAAAGAAGGTCTATAAAATAATTTCCATACTCAAGTACAACCTGATTCCATAATAGCAAGGTCAAAACTGAATGAAAAGTTGATAGGACTCAATAGCCATGTAAAAATCAACTAATAGGAATTTCTGGCTGTGTTAACATGTAAAAGTACGTCAGGAAACCTGTTGTTTTCCATGCAATGATAGGTAATAAAATGTAGACGTTTTCCTAAAATTTTGTAGCTGTTTAGCTGATTCTTTAAGCTTTCTTTACTCATCAATATTGTCAGGGACTGAAGAAGTGTAATAGCTACAGTAACATTCAAAATAATTTTACAGGCAAGCTTATTTATTTAAAAACTCTTCATTACCTAAAATTTGTATACTTTCTTATTCCCAAATCAAATCTAATACTTTCCTTGCATTAACTTGGAGCATACATAACTCCAACAAGTCAAAAATAGAGATTTTTTCCAGGGTGAAGATGGTCAAAGGCTGATAATAATGATTCGCCGAGGTGGTGCTGCTGTCATCAAAATCCTCATCAATGTCTCCGGGACACTGAAACCTGAAATAAATGACAAGAATCTCTGATTATTTGGTTATTTCTCCTGCCAGTCTTAAATAATTCAAACATCTACAAAACAGTCACTTATTGAGGTTAAAATGCAAGAAATATAAACTATGTCCTGCACCAAATTACCTTAATAGAGAAAAGCAGCCTTAAGACGGAGTCACCCGGGGCCAGCCCAGTGGTGCAAGCAGTTAAGTGCACGCGCTCTGCTGCCACAGCCCGGGGTTCGCGGGTTCGGAACCTGGGCGCGCACAGACGCACCGCTTGTCAAGCCATGCTGTGGCGGCGTCCCATATAAAGTGGAGGAAAATGGGCACGGATGTTAGCCCAGGGCCAGTCTTCCTCAGCAAAAAAAAGAGGGGGATTGGCAGATAGGCATAGGGCTGATCTCCTCACAAAAAAAAAAAAGACTGAGTCGCCCACCTTGTTCTGGCAACAACCCAAAGCAAGGGACGTCTCTCACACGCCATGTGGGGGTGCCCACAGCAGAGTGCTTCTGAGAGCAATTGGTCCAGCTGCTGAAAAATATGCCTAAACCCCACGAGTCAACAATTCCCCTTTAGGAATCTAACTTACAGGAAAACACTTAATTTTAAAATGCTCTGCATACAATGATATATACTACAATATTATTTATAACAAAATTAGATATAGTCCTAGTGTCAAATATTGTAAAATGGTGTTTAATAAGTGTCATATTTATACAATGTACTGTTATGAGCCATCAAAAACGACATTTGAATAGATTGGAGGCCTATTAGAGTGCTTATGATATATACTTCTGTATTATATATAATATGATATATGATATACATATGATAAATATATCATGTATGTACATATGATATATACATGATATATATCGATATATAA